CGACTCATTGTAATGTATGTAATGTTTAGGCTTGCTGCCTTGTGTGTGTGCGGAGCCCTGGAAGAATAAATCTCTTTAAAGCATGTGAGTCAAAGGTTGAATTTCCATCGTGCAGCATCTCCGGCGAGAACGTCTCCCATTATTCGAACATGAGCTCTCCGCGAACCTTCACCCTGTGCACTGTAGTCTGAAGAGGTTCAACGTCTGCCTTGAAACATGTTGGAGTAGATTAGCTCTCTTAAGCAGAACAGAAAAACGTGGACATTCCACACAAAATTATTTTATCCCCCTCTTATTGAAGAATTGAGCTGTCCCAGTGAAAGGCAAAGAAAATCCAAGGCGGCAGGCACAGATGTTGGCAGCGGTGGCATCACACTGCCCTCTAGTGTCCGCCATGGGGTACCGGATGCTCAGACCTAAAATCAGCAGCTGGTGTATTGAGCGGATAGAACGCTCATAAAATACAACGAGTCAATGTTGATTCAGACAGATCGAGCGGGGATGAAGCCTCATTTCCAAACGTCCAGCCACATAAAGGCACCAAGTGTTCCGGAAAATAAGTACCCCGTATCATAAAAAGAGGATAAAGGCCTAATTTACAAAGGTGGGTTTGCCCGCTGTGGTCAATGTATAAAGCTGCGAATACAAAATCAATTTAAAAAGTCACGATTGGCAAGTTTTCGGTAAGGACAGGGAGCGAATGATGTCTGCCTTTCTCAACGTGGGACTGGGAGCATGAGAAGCGCAGCGAATAGATGAAGCAAAACAGGAATAAATGTGCCGTAATTATTACAGGAGAACTATGAGGTGAGTGATTTTCACTCAGCCTCATAGTTCTAGCCGACCTGTGACAATCAAACTGTCACAGGTCGGCTCAGTAGATCGGGAAGTGAGCGAACACATACCGGTGCTCGCTCACTTCTCGATCCTGTGCCGGCAGAGAGCCGTGACAGGGGAGGGACTGGATTCCCCCCTCCCCTGTCCGATCCTCCAGCGCTGACTGGCGGAACGGACGGGGGATGGGGCGGGTACAGCTGGTTCTGCCTCTAGATAGGCAGAGCCAGCTATCACTCACGCAGCTGGGTGGATCCCGGCATAATTGTCGGGATCCGTTCCGGCTGCGGCGTCTCAGTATACCACGAGCTGTAGCTAGTGGTATACTGAGCTGTGGGTGACGGGAGGACACAAACTAGTGTCCTTAGGAGAACTATGGGGAAAAGCCCTGACCCCATAGTTCTCCTTTAAAAGTACAATATTCAATGAATGAATATTTGATGTAAAGAATATATATATAATAACATATCCAATTATTAAAAGCGCACAGTGCGCAGAAGTCTCCATCTGTCTGCAGGGTCAATAGCTATAGACCTCCAAACTTCATGTGGCCTTCAGATTGGCACAACAACAGTGCATAGAGAGCTTCATGGAATGGGTTTCCATGGCACAGTGACAGCCTCTCCATCCCCGCCGCACAGATGCCCGTACATGCTGCGGGTGGCTATGCGGCAAGGAAGGAGCGGCACGATCTCGGGGGGGGGGAGGAGCCAACCCAATACTGAACCCTACGGACTAAGACTGGCATGCCAATAAAGTTCATGTGCGTGCAAAGACCGGCGTCCCAATACTTTTGGCAATATAGTGTATTTTATATAATATACAGTATATAGACATTGTCACAGTCCAGCAGGTTTGATGTTGTATGGATCTCAGCTGCGGAGGTTATTATATAGGATTAAGGGGTTGGATCAGTTTGGCAGAACCCCAATGCACTCAGTACCAAGAGGAAACATTTCACATCATGTACCCCCTCCTATGCTAGGTGAAGTGGCTTACTACCCTGTACTAGTTATGGAAGAACTAAGGTGATGGCCCTATAGTAAGAGCAATTTGGGAAGCGGCAACAAATAGGTAGGAGTAGATCCGCATAGGCTGGCGGACGGCAAGATCAATGTTGTAGCTACTGCCACACTATCTCAACAGAGCAATGGCAATTCAATTTAGACACAGTTCATCTAGTAGGCAATGATTATGCTAATCACAGTTCATCAAGTTGGCAATGCGGTTCAGTCTGGAGGTGCAACAACAGGTATATTCACTGGCTATTTCAGGTCACAATGCACACTTCAGCATAAGTAATACTTGCAGTAGTACAACAGGTGTTTGATTAATTGGTCAGCCAAGCATGAACCACAATGCAGCACAACCAGGTATCTGAGTAGGAATAACAGATGGGTAATTTCCCAGTTACTTGCGGTTTGCTTGATGGTACAGAGTAATTGTGGATGGCAATTGGGGTGATGGTTGCAACCTCAGTGTAGGTCCAGTGCCAAGTCCCTGGTGTGCGGTAGCAGTTCACAGTCTCCAGATCAGCCTGTAACACTCTCTCTCCTGCTCTGTACACAAAGCCTCTCGCTCGACGTTCCAGAACGATAGAACATCGAGTAAGTGGCTCAGCTGTGTTTTGAGGAGGAGCTGCGGCCAAGGGGAGGAGTCGGCCGTGATGTCATGGACGGACGGCACGCCTCAAGCACGGAGCTCTGATCCGTGTAGGTCTGTGACAATGTTGCAATTACAAATGCATTCTCACGATTATTTATTTTGTTTCTTTTGTCTGCATTTAGTGGGCCATTGCAGAGATGTGCTGCAGCCGGGGAGGATCCCGGCGATATTGTCAGGTTCCACCCCATTGCCTGATTGACAGCTGGCTCTGCCTCTCTGAGGCCACATTCACGCCATATCCAGATCATCTCCAGACCAGACCAGATTGTTTCCGGAACCAAAATGCATCCTAATGCTATTTCTGGCCTCTGTTCACACCAGCGCAGTCCGTTCCAGACCAAGCCAGAAAAATACTGCATTTCTCATTTTGTCTGGTCTGGAATGCACTTAAACTGCGGGCAGGTTCACACCATTTGTCACTCAAGTCAGAACTGCGGAGAGTCATGACTGACAGTGACCCCATAATTCTCCTTTATAGTGTATGTATAGCCAAAACATTTTCATTTTGGATATATAGTATGAAAGGGTAAAACCCCCTGTCAGTTTATTTTGTTGCTGTTTCTGTGCCATTAGGGCGGTTTCCCTTCAATTCCTGTCCCAGAGACATAACAGGAAGTTAGAGGGAATCTCCAAAAGAAAGGAGAATTCTCCTCTTAGACATTTATCACCAGGTGTCTCCATTGAAAGATTTAACCTCACCTCTAAATCTAAAATTATCAATTTTCTGTGTCACTGACAATAGTCCCCAGTACAAATATATAGAGTAAATCTCCCCACGTGGGACAAGAAATAAAAACTTAAAGGACAACTATGAGGTGAGTGCTTTTCACTCACCTCATAGTTCTAGCCGACCTGTGACAATGAGACTGTCACAGGTCGGCTCAGTAGATCGGGAGGTGAGCGAACACATACCGGCGTTCGCTCACCTCTCGATCCTGTCATGGCTCTCTGCTGTGACAGGGGAGGGGCTGGATTCCCCCCTCCCCGCTCCGATCCGCCAGCGCTGACTGGCGGAACGGACGGGGGAGGGGGTGGGTACAGCTGGCTCTGCCTCTAGATAGGCAGAGCCAGCTGTCACTCACGCAGCTGGGCGGATCTCGACATCGATGTCGGGATCCGCTCCGGCTGCGGCGTCTCAGTATACCGCGAGCTGCAGCTTGCGGTATACTGAGCTTAGGGTAACGGGAGGACGCTAGTTTGTGTTCTCCCGTTACCCCAAGGAGAACTATGGGGAAAAACACTGACCCCATAGTTCTCGTTTAACCTAGCAGCCAAGGGGTAGGCAACCATGGCACCCTAGTTGTGGTGAAACTACAAATGCCATCATGCTTCTTCCTCTGGGAGTCATGTCTGTGGCTTTCAGTGTCTTGCAATGCCTCATGGGACTTGTAGTTCCACAACAGCTGGAGTGCTGAGTTTGCCTGATCCTGACCTTTCACACTTTATCCACAACATAAAAAAAAATTGCCTTTAGAAACATTTTAATAATAATAATTTTAAAGAACATAATTCTTAGTAAGTTAGCGCAATGGACACAATTCAGGAGTCGAGATTCAGATTAGACATTTGCGATTTGTTTTCTTCCGAAGCAAAATTCGGACGAATTTTCCAAAAATCGGACATTCGGATACATACGAATGTCCAAATCCCAATGCATCCGAATACGAATTTCCGTTTCCGAATACGAATTTCACTCAATAACTAAACTGAATGGCCCATGTGACTTTTCTAGCCAATCAGACGTGTTTTTCTGTTTAATGATAAAATGGGTCTGAACATGAATTTTTGTTACGGCAACATGGGAGCCATATACATATATTACTAAAGCCGAATCTCCAAGACCCGAATGGCATTCAGGAGCTCCTGAATGCCATTCGGGTCTGGGAGCCATATACATATATTACTAAAGCCGAATCTCCAAGACCCGAATGGCATTCAGAAATATGGATCCCGAATGCCATTTGGGTCTAGGAGATTCAGCTTTAGTAATAATATCTGTATATGGTTTTCTGTGGTACGAATATTCATAAACTCATCCGAAACTTTGGAAAATGTGGATTTCGCCCGAATCCAAAACCCGAATTGTATTTCGCATCCGAGTCCCGAAATATAGAAACATCCGAACCGAACTGAATTTTTCCGCAGTTTACATGTCTAATTCAGATTATTACAGATGCCCGTGGGTGACCGGTTCTCTTTAAAACCGCAAGTGAGCCGCATATGACATTTAGGATATAGAGTGTGGTACCTGATTATATAACAGGAACGGAATGTTGGGAATCTTTACTACAGCTGCATTGCAGCCTCTGTGCTACATACAGTGGAAATAAGCCACCCACAATGAACTCTTCCATGTCCCAGTGAAGTCTAAACATATGTGAGGACGGTGTTTGCTCTTTGTCTCATTCCTCCCACCTCCCTTCTCTATCAGAGGATTACAGAGCCTCCCAGTGCCTGCCAGTACACGTGACAGTCACAGTCCACCTTGTGTGTTACCTGGAGCTCCTTCCTGGCTTCGGTCTACACCCAGATCCTCCTCCGTTCCTCCCCTGCCAGGTAACTCAGCACACAACCCTTCGCACTGGGTAGACCTGGAGACTGCAAACACTGCGCTCAAATCACTGGATTAAAGACTTCCACTGTGAGATTTTACTGGTGAAACTTTGATGACTTCAGGAGCCCCACCATGGCCTTCACCAAGAATACGAAGGACCCTTTTAGCACCCCAGTTGGGCATCTCGTAGGTAAGCTCAGTGCAACTTCATTGCTAAGCCTAAGCGGGGCTTTAACAGAGAAAGCCGTTGTTTCCGATGGTTGCCAACCTTCTCCAATTCACAGTGACACTTCCAGGTTTCAAATGGTCAAAACTTTTCATCCCTGGAACTGTCCTTGGCTTTGGAAACCGCCGAATCTCACCATAACCTCCCCTCTTATCTGCGTCTATTGAATTCTTGGCGCCTTGTTCATCTTCCGGCGCTGAATCCGTGCCGGACACTCAGAAATTGCACATATAATCTTATCAGAAGGTTGGCGATGAAAAAAAATGATCTGTTGACAGGTTCTCTTGAAGGAACACCTGTCATGAAATATGTAGGCTTCCATCGCTGAACTCTCCTTCTAAAAATGCCAGTTGCCTGGCTGTCATGGTGAGCCGGCTGACTTCGGTAGCTCCCGTGAACATGTATGCAGATCGGGAGTTCTGACGTCACTCAAGCTGCGGCTGGTTCTGGGTCGGTGACAGACACCTCTTGTGTTCATCTCAGGACTGTTCATCTCGGGACTGTTCCTTTAACCCTTTCCCTGCCAGGACCATTTTTGCCCTTTTTGTGCACACCTATTAAAATGCACATTTGGAGCCTGAAAATTGCTCAAACCTCCCACAATTATATATCTTCTGAAAGCAGGGACCCCGGAGAATACAGTGGTGGCAGTTGCAATTTTTTATGTCATATGACATTAGTACAACTCATTATCAATCTCAAAGTAAAAAAAATGCATTTAAATTGATAGTAAAGCACATAAACACAATAGGATACCCATTTTTTTGGGGTAAAATAAAAAAGATAAGGTTGTGCTGAGTTAATAGATACCAAACATGTCAAGTCTCAAAATTGCATGCGCCCATGAAATGGGGAAAGACGTTGGGCCCGAAAATTGTCCATACGCAATGCTTTAAAAGCATTTACAGGTCATCAGTTTATAGCTGTCACATGGGGTGGGGGGTGATTAGCCCCCTATGAGATAGCACAAGGGAAGTAACAAGTGATCTTGAATGTGACATCAGGGGTCAAAGGTGACATTAGCAGTCTAACAGACTCCTGATGTCTCCTTAAAGAAGACCTGTCACCTAAATTAGCAATTAGCCCCCTATGTGATAGCAACAAAAGTAAAGGGGAAAAAAAGTTTAAAAAATGAAAATGACATTAAAGTAAAATTTTAAAGCCACCCGCCCATACATACACACACACATGTACTTAAACGAGTGGGGTAGGGTTGGGTGTGCCTACGTACAAAAATGGCACTTGCACCACACATGTTACATATCGGCGTGCATGCCAGAGCAAGAGCAATTATCCTCAGGCCATTATATTCAGATAACTCCAAACTGATGACTTGTAAAGTCTTTAAAATTGTCGCTTATGGACAATTTTGAGTCCCAAAGAGTGTCATCGTTTCACAGGCGCACGCGCTTTTGAGGCTGGACATGTTTGGTATCTGTTTACTCCAGGCAACCTCATCTGTTATATTTTCCCCCAAACTTGGAGATTATGTTGTGTTTGTGTGCACGAAAATTGATTTGAATGCAGTTTTTAGTAAAAAAATTTGGGTTTGATAAACATTTGCGCAAATCTGGCATGACAAAAAAAATTGCAGCTGCCTCTATTTTATTCTCCGGGGTTTTTGGGGTAGGGGGGGGGGTTAACTAATAATGAGCTCCTAAAACATGCATTTTAATATGCGTGCAAAGGGAACATACGTTGACAGGGTGGCAGGTTCCCCCCTAAATGAATACTAGGTTAGGACACGTGTACCAGAAAAAAGAAACCACCCCAACTAGGGTTATAGATAGACCCGCCTTAGAGGTACCTCACCCCAACCAACCTCAGCCCCCTACTAAAAAATACAAAGGCTGCTCTGGCAGTGAAAGAGTTAAAAGCATGCCACACGTAAAGCAAGACCAGACGGAAACAACGCAAATGTCGCTTTTGCTGTAGAATTTCCCAATGTCTTGGCCAACCAGTTCAGCACGGCAGTTTTGGCTCCTTCTCTCTCGGATCATACAGCAGAAAGCTGATTCAAATTGGCAGATCCTGACTCCAAACAAAATGGCTGCCCCTGCTGAAAATTGAGTATGGCGTTCGGGATGAACGGTCTGGCGAGTCTCCAGCCGTAGAGCCGCCAAGTCTCTTTTATCTGTGGATGGCATGGTGGGTGTCCTGTAGGTTGTCCGTTCTGACGGTAACAACGTAGTGATATGCAAGTTGGAAGGCGGAGGGTTGATCTGACGCCCCTCCAAATATGTGAATTGTTACATTTACGCTTTTCAGTTGATTTTTTGTTTTGCTTTTGTTTTACATCATTGAGTAGAGTTTTTGGCTGTTGCTGGTTAGTTTTAGCTGAGCTATAACTTAACGGCGTTCAAGCATCTATATATTCCGTTCCCTAAAAACCCATACACACAAGGCTGGATTTACTCTCTCTGTTGCCCCAAGGCCAGGTTGCTCAATGCGCCCCCTAAACCATATCCCCCCCCACCCCCCCACACACCCAGGGTGAATGGCAGACCTGCAGGCTGCATACAAGTGATCTCCGTGACACGGTGACATCGCTGGGATCACGTGTACAAAACAAGCGGAGGCTTCCCCGCTCTACATGTAGCTCTGCTTGCCCAAAGCAGGGCTAAATGTAGAAAACAACTACCCACCAGGCGCCCAGAACTGCATGTCCCGGGCATCGGGAGATAGGAATTCTACACCCCTGCTGCCTCTTCTACTCCCTGCTGCCCCAAGACCGGGCCTTGGTTGGCATTGTGGGAAATCCTGCCCTGGACACACACCCCTTCACCACCGCCTGTCATGGAGGCTTTCTTCTACATTCAACAAATTTTTACAATTTCTAATTTGCATGCCAACAAATGCTTGTATGCCCACCAACGATGTCACCAAGATTCACCCCACCTTCCGGCATCAAAGCCAGGATTAGTTCAGTTCCCATTGTACTTCCAGCCCAGTAAGCATTGCAGGTGTTATAGACCCAGTGCTGTTTCAGCCAATGGAAAGCTAGTTATGCACAAAATGGCAGGAAATATGACTGTAGACACCGACACTCAATTGTGAAAATCTTCTTGTTTACATGCCGGGGAAGTTCAGCTTGAGCTGCCTTTCCGGCCCACTGGGGTGCAAGTCTCATAGACCCCAGCACTGCAGCCGTGTCTCCGCTTTTCTCTCCTCTAGGCCATTCACAATATGAAAACGGGTTGTGTGTTTTGTGAATGACCTGGAGGAGAGGAAGGAGGATACATAATTGTGCTGGGGTCTATGAGACCTGCAGCGCTTACACCCAAGTGGGCCAGAAGTGCAGCACAAGCTATACATCCCCAACATGTAAGTAAGAAGATTGTCACACTTGCGTGTCAGCGCCTTCGGCCATTTTTTGGGCATAACTAGCTTTCCCGTGGCTCAAACAGTACTGGGTCTATGAGACCTGCAGTACTTACACTCAAGTGGGCTGGATGTACAACGGGAGCTGTACTAATCCCATCTTTGGCACTGTAAGGTGGGGCGGAGCTTGGTGACATCATTGGTGGCATGTAGACGAAAATTTCAGTTTTTAAAATATGCCCCAGTGCTGGGTTCATGTCTCAATCTCCCTCTCCTCCAGGCCATTCACAAAATTAAGCCCGGGGTTGTGTGTTTTGTGCATGGACTGAAGGAGAGGGAGAAGGATATACAAACGTAGTACTGGGGTCTATGGGACTTGCAGACTTGACACCCGAGTGGGCCAGAAGTGCAACACAAGCTATACAACATGTAAGCAAGAAGACATTCACACTTGCGTGTCGGCGTCTTCGATCTTCGCATAACTAGCTTTTCATTGGCTAAGACAAAAACGCTCATGCCTGAGGACACATGTGTGTTCTTGTTTTAGCCAATGGAAAGCTAGTTAATAGGAGGAGGAAATGGCTGTTAAAGTGTATGCATAGCCAAAACCTTTTGGCTTAGTTTTTGGATAAAGTAGGGAAGGGTTTGACCCTCTGCCAGGTTTTTATTGATGTCTGAGTTTCTACTTAAAGAGATTCATTCTCTCTATTTGTCCTGGTGTCACATAGACAGAAAGTGATGGGAATTCCGACATGTGGACGTGATGTCAACAGCCCCAGCATACTCAGAGATGTCACTCAAGTCTTTGCTCCTCCCACGGCAGCTGCATAAAAGGATATGTAGGGAGGTGGCGGAGTAGCTAGGCCAGCACAGACAGTAAGTAGGCAGTGCCAAAAGAGGAGAGGACTATGACGTGCATGGAGGAAAGGGGCAAGCAAGTGGAATGGCACATTGCAAGTGAATACAAAATATTATACTGTATGGAAGGGAAAAACACTGCAAGTAATAATGTTATATAATATACTTTATTTTTTCCTGTGCTTGTATCCGCCATGTTTCGAGTTGGTGACAGGGTCTTTTTAAGTTCATTTTGTACGTAGCCACTCCTTTTTACTCCTGGTCTGGTTACAGATAACAGATGAGGATTATGGGTATTTTCTTATCCAGCCACCTATCACGCCAGAGGCAGTGTTTTCATGTTTGCGCTGTCCCTTCCCTGCCCGGAAAACAAAGAATCATAAAAGAATCTTGTGTCAAAACCGAATACTGTGCAGGAGAGCCGACTGTACACAGAGAAGACAAAGCCGTAAAATGAAAATGATGGAGCTACAAACAATGGGTGACCTAAGAGACCATCACTTGTGTTGGTCAGGTTGTTAAGAGTATAAAGAGACCCTGTCACCAATGCAGTTCAAAGCAGCGATAAATTAGGCATTTTAAATGTTTATGTGCCGAGTTTTTCCTTACCATTTGCTAGAAAATCTGACTACATCACTCAATTTGCTAGCACGGCCTCCTCCTCCCTTGCAAATCAAAGCCTTCTCCTCTTCTAGGAGTGTCTGGGTACTGTCTATGGTGGCCCAGCTTCTCCACCCCTCTCATCAGCACCCTACATAAGCCTTTATTCAGCTTCTGGGAAAGGA